TCAACCCAATCTTTACCCATTTGAACTCAACAATCTTTCCACAACCTTATTGTTATGTGTATGTATAATTGATACTCTTACACCCAAGAATCATACTCTTAATCTCCCATCTTTTACCCCAAAAATTGAAATTGAAGAATTGGGGGAAGAGATTCTTACCTCTTTAAAGTCCTAGCATGATCCTTGTGAAATCTTCAAGCCTTGAACAAGAATTGATGAACAATTAACTAAGTCTTCACTTTCTCTATCTAAGCACTCTCTAAAATATCATATAAAACCCTTCAAAATGATCCCCAATAGTATTTTATAAGAATGGGGTCGGGTTTATAAAACCAAAAAAATAAAGCTCTGAAACACACTCTGCAGTCACATATGCGATCGCAGAATTGATATACGGTCCGCATATCGGCTGCAAAAATTGGTGCCCAAAATTGGGGGTCACTTGCCTGGGTCTGCAGTAGTTATGCGGCCTGCAGACCCGTTATGTGATCGTAAATTGTACCGTAGACTTGTTCTGCGGTCGCATAATGTACCGCATAACTTCCATCCGAAAATTCCAAGTTGATTCTGCGATAGGTTTTGCGGTCCGCGAAACGATTATGCGGTCGCATAATTGACCACACAATGGTCCTCAAACTTGGCTCATTTCTGCTTCACTCTACAACCATTATACGGTCCACAGAGTGATTCTGCGACCGCATAGTGGACCGCAAAAATGTCCTCTTCTGCCAAAAATTTTTCTTTACTCCTCAGTGCATTGTTCAATCCAAAAAGTCTGAGCTGCGACGAGCTTGCAAGCCGTGAGAAATTTATATAACCTTTGTACTAATTAATCTACCTCGGCACCACAAAACCTTAATGTCCTTAGCAAAATTTCTCAGGGGTCGTTATACATAAGTCAACATCCGGTCAACCTTTTCAACTTAAATTCTAAACCTTGGAGCTAAGTATTCCAAATCATTCCAAAACCTCACCGGACCCGAACCAATTACCCTCAGCAAGTCACATAATAACTGTAAATCATAATTTGAGCAGTAAATGGGGAACGGGATTATAATAGTCAAAATGATTGGTCGGGTCCTTATACTATGCCACTGTTCTAATTCCCCAAAGATATAAATTCAACCCTAGAGTTTTTCCTTGTATGTTTCTTGGTTACCCTTTTGCTAAAAAGGGATACAAATTGTATAATTTGCAGACTAAACAATGTTTCATTTCTAAAGATGTGGTATTTCATGAACACCATTTTCCTTTTTCCTCTAATTTATCTTTCCTTGATTCCTCTAAGTATTCTTTACCACCTGCATCACAATCTACACCTCCTGCTACTAATTCTGATCCTATTTCTGATGTTCCTGGTGTTGCATCACAATCCCTACCTTTTGATACTACTTCTGATCCTATTCCTGTTACTGGTCCTGGTCCTGCCTCTAATCCCGGTACTAGTCCTGCTCATTCTCCTGCTCCTGTCCTACCTGCGTTTGTTCCTGAGGTTCCTCTTTCTCCTATTTCTTTCAATCCTGATATCAATCCTTCTATTGTACCTGCTGCCTCTCCTGATATAACCTCTTCTTCCTTACATCCTTTAAGAAAATTCAATAGAGTTCATTCTCATCCCTCATATCTGAAGGATTATGTTTACCAACTTCCCTCTTCTCTCTCTTATTCTGTTACTCAGCATGGACACTTTGAACCTTACACATATTCCCAGGCAGCTCATATCTCAGCCTGACAAGATGCCATGAGGAAAGAATTTGATGCTCTAGAAGCAAACCACACTTGGGATATTGTTGAGCTACCACAGGGTAAGAATCCCATTGGGTGGAATGGGTCTATAAAATTAAGTATAAGGATGATGGTAGTGTAGAAAGATTCAAAGCTAGGCTTGTTATTCGAGGGGATACACAAGTTGAGGGGGTGGACTTTAATGAAACTCTTTCTCCTGTGATGAAATTATCTATTGTTAAATGCCTTATTGTTGTTGTTGTTGTTAAGAAAAAGTGGTATTTATTTTAACTTGATGTTAATAATGCATTCGTTCATGGTGATTTAGATGAAGAGGTCTAAATGAAGCTGCCTCAGGGCCTTTCTCTTTCATCTGCTCCTTCTACTTCTACTTCTGCTCCCTTGGTTACAAACCAAGGAAGTCTCTTTATGGGTTGAGGCAAGCTTCAAGACAATAGTATACTAAATTGTCTCATGCTCTTTGCTATATAGGGTACACTCATTCCCTTAATGACTATTCTTTATTCATTAAAGGGTCCCATGGTCATCTAGTCATTCTAGCAGTGTATGTTGATGACATAATCCTCACAGGTGATGATTTGCATAAGATTGCTTCTTTGAAATATTTTCTGGACAATGAATTTAAGATTAACGATTTGGGGTCCTTACACTATTTTTTGGGTATTGAAGTCAATGTTTTACCTGGGGGTGTTGTCCTTAATCAAAAGAAGTTTGTTATTGATTTGTTAAAAGATTTTAATTGTTCTAAAGTGAGTCATGTGGTTAGCCCTTTGGAATTTCATAACAAATTACATGCTGATGTTGGTGATGTTCTGCCTAATCTAGAAAAGTATAGGAGTCTTGTTGGCAAGCTACTTTTTCTAACACACACAAGACCCGATATTTCTTTTGGGGTTCAATACTTAAGTCAATTTTTGAAGACCCCTAGACTTCCTCATATAGTTGTTGCCCTTCACTAGCTTCGATACCTCAAGGGTAATACTGATGTTGGTTTGTTTTATTCTGATTCTTCTGATCTTTCCATGAATGCCTACTCAGACAGTGATTGGGCTGCCACTGGTTTATGCATTTTTTTGGGTGAAAGTCTAAGAAGCAACCAGTGGTTTCTTTGTCTTCCGCTGAAGCTGAATATCGTGCTGTGTGCAAAGTAGTTGCTAAATTAACATGGTTATCCAGGTTGTTGCATGATATTGTTATTCCTGTTTCATATCTTATTTATGTTTTTGTGACAATTTGGCAGCCATTCACATAGCCAGGAATCTGATATTTCACGAGCGCACCAAACACATAGAGGTGGATTGTCACTTCATTCGGACTAAGTTGCTTGAAGGGATGATTCAGTTACATCATGTACCTACTACTCAAAAACATGCTGATGTATTCACCAAACCATTGCCTGGTGCACTCCATCATTCATTCCTGGGCAAGTTGAAGGTGTTATTCAGCTTGAAGGAGGTGTTGGACTATCTGCGTATTTGGCCTCAGGCCCAAAGTCAAGAACATGAAAGCTTGGCCTCCGGGCCAATACATATTTATTTGTGCCAGAATATTTTCTTTATAGAATAGCCTTTCCTTTTCTTTTAGTTTGAGTTGTGGAGTGATGTTTTGTATATGGTATTGGACCGGATTACCGGGTATGTATATAAAGAAAAAGGCTCAAATCTAATGAGTTGACCGACTTATTTCATTTTTTATTTCCTCTGTTGGTGTCAATCTTCTCTGATGAGAAGCTTCTCGAACCCTAACCTCCATTAATGAATTCTTCAATCTCATCTGATTTTGCAAGTTAACAATTATACACTAATATTGTATAGACTCTCATCAACTGCAGATTTGGGAAAAAAGAAGAAGAGGAAATCTCGAAAACAAAAAAAGAGAAGAAGATAGATCAGATCTTCAACCACCCACATACCCCAACTCCTCGTCTCTCAATTGCGTAAAGACCCAATTATACTGGCAAAAAAAGGCTCTTCGTAGTCTCTTATACTTCCTCCATTAAGCTTCTTCGTCCTCTTAGCAATGGCTATAAATCTTCGTAAACCCTAGATTTGGTGTAGTTTCTAGCGAAAGGACCTTGCGGCAGTTGGAAGGAGATGGGTGGCGGTTGTGTACCAGGGGAGAAAGAGGAATATTAAGTGTAAGAATGAGATATAAGAAGATTAGAGTATTTTGATAGTTGGCTACAAAAAGTAAAGTCTGAGACTAAATGTTTAAATCAGGTTAGTTAAAAGAGAATAGGGCTATTTTTAGTTTAGTATTAATATGGGTTGTTAATCTAGTTAATTGTTCTATAAAAAAAGTGGGATAGCTAATCAGACGGGATATCCATGTTGATCTCATCCTGATAATCACACGAACCCTTAGAACCAGTTATTTAACAACAACAATAACAACAACAACAACAACAACAACAACAACAAACCCAGTATATTCTCATAAGTGCGGGTCCGAGCAGGATAGTGTGTACGCAGGTCTTACCCTTACCTAATGAAGGTAGAAGTTATTTCCAATGGACTCTCGACTCATAAAAGGTGAGAAAGAAAGAAGACTAGAGGAGAAGAAAAAGAAAGAATATGAAGAGAGAAGAAAAAGAGGAATAAAAGAATAAATAGTTCCAAATAGTAACAAGAGGGGACGATAACTGAAGTGAACTAAACAACATGATGTAATATAGATCTAAGAATATGAAAGTACATGAGCTACTAATACTACTGAGTACTGAATAGAAAAGGAAAAACTTTCAACAATCTACTGACTTTCTACCATAACCTGGTGTTTTTGAACATTTTACTCGTATATTTGTTTTTTTAGATAATTTGTTAAATCATTGTTGACCCTAATATTACTTAAATTGAAATTTGGAAAAATTGGCTTATGTTTCGTTCTTTAAACATCAAATTATAAAGTGTAAAAGACAAAAATTACTATAAATTTAACAAGATTTTAAAAAAAATGTCACCCCTTCCCTCACAAGTCACATGGACTACACTATGTGTTTTTAGGTAAACTTGAGTGATTCTCTTATTACAAGAATATTTAGTAACTTTAGTGCGATGAGTTGAATTATTATCCATTAAATTAACCGCTAATATTATACAATCATGAATTTACATTACTCTAGAATTAATCCAAGACCGAAATTAAAGCAAAAGAGAAGAAAAGCAACTTGATGCATATATCATGTAGTAGTCCGAAGTTCTTTGCTAGCTATTCATTTGGAATAATTGGAACCATGGAAAAAAAAACTTAACACATCAAAGAAACAAGAAAGGCTCTTTTCTGGAGTCAGTTGATTCAGAATCAGCATCTCTCCTTCTACTTCTCTGTCCCAAAGTAAAAACCGTAGGCAAAATCACCTCCGACGAAGTTCCGACCAGAAACCGTCGCGTCAAGCTCCGGCAAACACCGCAAAGAAGGCACCTTACATGTCTCTGAGCCAAGAAATTAGCCCCATGAACCCATTTGTCGCATTTCCAGCAAAGATAAGCATCGTCGGCTTGACAATAAACAGAAGCTTCTGAACTACACAGCTCACAATAAATTTTAGAGCCAATATTTGCCTTTCCCTCTTTCAGGCAATAAGTTTTTAGTGTACTATCCTCTTCACCTTCGTTTCTTCCTTGACACATTTTTAAGTCTTGTAATTTGAAGAAAATAGAGATGCCACAAATTGTGGTTGAGAGTGGCCATTTATAGGAGTTTGTGAATGCAGGGGGTATCTTGTTTCTAAGCATGATTTTCGTGGGGAAAATTGGAATGTGGTTAGAAAGACCATATTGCCACTATAGGACAAAATGGTCATTGTTTAACAATTTTAGACTACTTTTTCATGCACCTTCTTTTTTGGGTTATTTTGTTAGACTTAATTAAGTAATAAATTAAATATATAAGAGTTTTCATTTCAGGAAGAGTATATACTATAGTTAACTCAGACTATTCTACCATATTTTCTGATTTTGTAAAATCAATTTTTTTTTTTGTTTTTCGTTCGAATCTGATATTCACATTGATGTCAGACTAATTCGAATTCATGCAGGTAGTGGCGGATCCAAGATTAAACTTTATGGATTCAACCTATAAGGGTTTTTAGTATTGAATTCTTTATTTTTTTTAAAGCTATGAGTTCGGAGCTACTATTTATTACAATTTTATTAGATTTTTATATATAAATTTATACTCAACATCAAAAATACTGGGTTCAATTGAACCCGGTATTAATATGTTGCAACCCATTAAAGAAAACACTTTTTGGAGGAATTTATCCATTTCACTATACGTTGATGGTATAAAATCAATTATGTTATTTCTTAAGGGTTAATTAAGTAAATTGGCTTAAAATGATCGGGTTTCTCTTAAGAAAAATTAAGGCAAGAAACTTCAAAAGAGGATCTTGGGTATTGCCAGGAAGGGGGGGGGG